TATTAGATAGTGTTAATCAGTTGTGTAAATTGTGAGCACTTCTCATTAATGACTGTTTTTCTGCCTGAAAACTTTCAATATCCTTTTGTTCACTCTTTGAATCAAATCTACATTCCTTACCATGGCTTAAAAAGCCCCCACATGTTCTGATTCCTAGCTATTTCTTCAAGCTTAAGAAAAACCAGAAAGAAACCCCTGACTATTCATTGTGCGGTGGCTGCTTTCTGGTTCTAAAGGTGCCTGCCCAGTTGACTCACCTCCGCCTCATGGCCCTTGGTCCTCCATCAATCATAAATGAGCTCTCAGTTCTTGGAATACTCCAGATCTGAGCTCAGTCAACCTCTATTCAAAGAAGATGTTAACTGATCCAGCAGGCTATTTTTCCTATCTGTGATGTTAGTTAAAAACTGCCAACTTGACATAGCTTAGAATCATCCAGGGGAGAGGGCGGGGAGACTTGGTTGAAGAATCATCTGGATCATGTTATCCTGTGGGCACATCTTGTTGGCCTTAACTGACATGGGAAGACCCTGCCCACTGTGGGTAGCACATCCGCTAGGCAGGTGACCCTGAACTGTATGGAATGAAGAGAGACAGCTGAGCACAAGCGCATAAATGGGCAAACAAGGATCCATGAGTTTATCCTCTCTGCTCTTAACTGTGGATGCAACCAAGTCCTTGATTTCTCCATGATGTAATTAAAAATTATGAGCTATCGTAAGTTCTTTGTTTCATAAGCTGCTTTTGGTTAGGGTATTTTATTATAGCAACAGAAATGATTAGGACACCACCCTTAACTAATTCTCTTTCCTACCCTTATCTATTATTTTTATTCATGACATTGTTCATTTATATTTTTAAACTTTATATTTTAGCCGGGTGTTGGTGGCACACACCTTTAGTTCCAGCATTCAGGAGGCAGAGGCAGGCAGATTTCTGTGAGTTCAAGCACAGCCTGGTCTACAGAGCGAGTTCCAGGACAGGCTCCAAAAACAATACAGAGAAACCCTCTCTTGAAAAACCAAAAACTAAAACCAAAACCAAAACCAAAACCAAACCAAAACCAAACAATCAACCAACCAAACAAAAACCACCTTTTTTTTGCTATTAACTTATTTACATCATTGCATTGCTATAATCTATATTCATCTCTTACCTATTGACTACAGTTTGTGATCATGAACTCTTCCCCCCCCCCCTTTGTATGCCCAATTCTTAACAGAGTTCTAGAGTCACAGAAAGTACCAGAAGCTGTCTGGATATGTAAGTTTTGTAGACTCATGCTCTGAGAAGCTGAATAAAACTAGAAATCCAAGTGAATGCTGATTTCTAAAGATTTCGTTTATAATTATAGTTAGGTGTATGTGTCTATATGTAGGTACAAGCGTGTGAATACAGATGTCTGCCAAAGTCCAAGGCATCAGATGCCCTGTGGCCAGAGTTGCGGGATGTAAGATGCTTGACTTGGGGACTGAACTTCAGTCCTTTGCAAGAGCAGTTATGCTCTCAATGGGTGAGCCAGTTTGCCAGCCCAAATGAATGCTGCTGTAATGCCACAGAGCCTTCTCTTCCAAAGGAAATCTATGCAGGGGTTACATGTTAAGCACCCACATGGGGGTCTTTTCTGATGGAAGTAGGACTAGCAGGAACAGAGACATGTTAAGTCACAATCACTTTGCTAACTTCTGCACAGCTTTGGCCTGTCATTCTACGAGGTGGATGTATGAAGTGTAAGACAGAGACTGGCTTGCCTAGCTTGCAGCTCTTTGGAGGGGAACCAGTGGTTTAAAAACAGTGGGCAGAGCAGGGTTTCTATACCTAGGATGCTTAGGGTAAAGCAATTTAGAGCAAAACACGAGGGTGATAAGATTTGGATAGTCTCAATCCCTGGATGTCACTTAATCCACCAATTCCAAATTTCTAATCAATTTATTTTCCAGGGTTTCCAAGGAAACTCTCCATTCTAACTTAAACAGGTCAAAAAAAGCCCCATTTCAGTAAGTCTAGCTAAATTTTGCATTAAAGGAATAAAACAACATAATCTCATTTTAACATGCTCCACTTTATATGTTTAGAATTGTGGTAGAATCTTCAGCTGCAGATGACTGACCGTAAGTTAGACAGATGTTTCTTTTCTAGTAGAGATATGCATTCAGGCAACCGAGTATTTTAGAATAAAATTCATGCATAAAGTTACATGTTTTCTCTTCTCCCCAGAGAAGCAATAGCTTGGATTTTGAATTTGTCAAGCGATATTTTCCTCTTTTGCTTCCTCTACACAGATCCCAGTCTCAGCCTTCCAGGATTAAAGGATTTTTTAAGTTATTTTCTTTCATTCTTTTCCTTGTTTGTTTTGTAGAAATCAAGGTAGCATCTTTGTGACATTGCCCAAGGAACAATTTTAAAAGTGCAAAATAAAACCAACATCAGGCTGCCTGATTAAGCAATACTTCCTTGGATCATAAAATTCTTTTGAAAAAAATATGCCATGGTATTTTTATTGAGTTTATAAGCTGAAAGGCATTTAAAATTCCTGAGAGAACAACAAAAAGAATAAAAAAGAAACACACATGTGTTGTTGCTAAAAAAAAAAAAAAGTAGCAAAGATGTGAAAGATGTGTACTAGGCAGAATTGGTCCTGGGAGACATTAGAACACAGATGGGAACTGTGTTTATCATTTTCCATGCTCTGTTTGGAGCCTCTGCTCCGTCCCTGCTCTTCCCATTCCCTGCTGTCACATGGCACCATCCTCGGAGTCCTGTGGATGCTGTGCTGTGGTACACTTCAGTCCTTGTCTCCCTTGTCCTGGGTTCAAGCTAGTTGTTTTAAGAGTCCATGCTGAAGTATACGTTATGGGCAATATACACATATAGTCTTTATATATATATATATATGTTTACATACACATATAAAACACGCATATATAAACATATATACATATAGAGAATCACACTATATGAGTGTGTGTGCACACATGCTCGAGAAAAATGCCGCCTGTGCATACTAAACAGATACTTTATCTCGAAGTCACATGCCCAGTCATGAAGACCATCCATTTATCAAGAATGAGCAGGAATCTCAGTTTCTTGGCGCTGACTACTTTGCTTCTGTACAAGTCCAGTCCTAGTGCTGATGAAAAAAAGCCAATTCTCTAAAAACGATGAAGACTAGCGAGAACCCCAGGAAGGGTATGCTGAAATCAGGGGATAAAGGAATTGCTGTGAGCTTTGCCATCTGAAACAGTACTGAGAGTCTCGATTTTTTTTTCTGGTGAAATGAGGAGTAATAACATATATAGGTTGCCAGGCAGAGTCCATGAGAGGAGGTGAGTGAGTTCAAGTTGCTTAATCTCAGGGAGAACCCTTAAGCCACTGTGTGTGCTGCGTCGAGATGTCAGGGCAGAGGAGAGACAGGCAATTCATCATGATGGCAAAACCGGAGAGAATCATCTTCGATGATATTTAAACACAGTGATGTTTCTGCTTGATCCACATTCTGTTTTCTTTAATACACGAATTAATCCATGTACACAAGTGTTTTGTCTGTGTGTATGCGTGCACATCCTGTGTTTGCCTAGTGCCTGCAGAGGTTAGGAGAGGACATCCCATTCCCTGGAACTGCAGTTGCAGAGAATGGCTGGGAGCTTCCATGTAGGAGCTGGGAATTGAACTCAGGTCCTCTGCAAGAGCAGCCAGATCTCTTAACTGCTGAGATGTCTCTCCAGCCCCTTTACCCCCACTCTTTAAATGCCAGTTTGAAATACACTTGGGCCACCACCTATCATTTGGGAAGAATATATATTTTATTATGTAACATTAATTATATTATAGCATTGTTTACATAGCCACTAAAGCAATGGCGGTGGTGGATAATTGTGAGTGATGAGATAGCCAATTTAGACCTTCATTTATGGCATTTGTCATGGTTTTCAAGATAGCACCTTCATCTCGGTGAGGCACACTTAGCTGAGCTGATTAGGGCAGGGGCTACACCACTGACAAGACATCATTGATGTGGATGTTAGAAGCCATTGAAGAGACACACAGGAATAATGCACAGGGATGACCGGCTTTATAAACCACTGCTGTGCTCACAGCCTGCCTGCACAGTGAACCCACCCAAGGCCAGTTCCTCAGTCTGCCTTGAGCCCTCACATGGAAACATGGCAATGAGAGAGGGAGGCTGAGATGGGCTGTTCTACAGTTACTTTCCAGCGGGAAGACTTCCGCAGCTCAAAGTGCACTTTGATTCTTTAAGAAGCTAAAGATCCCCAGCACACAGAGGAAAGAGGAATCTTTTCTTGTTGCTTAGGGGAATTGTAGGAATTCTTCTAGCAAGTAAAGAGCAGTCTCTGAAGTTAAGAAAACTTAGAGAAGTAAATGCAGAATAATCTCCCTGGCTTAAACGTGTCAGACAAGTAGCAACCGTAAAGCTACCCCAAAGCCTGGAACACTCATGAGGGAGAATGCCACAGATAGCCTCATTATTCACATCTTACATTTGTCTCAAGGAGAGCAAAGTTTTTAACTATAAAATTTAGAGTTTCCTTTAAAGCAATATAATTTAGGAACAGGTATTGATAGTGTATCATGAGTAATCCTAATCTGGGGGGGCTAGGACGTTGTTCTAAAACAAGAATAGGGGCTCTATGAACAAAGATGCACGATATTTACACAACCTAACCCTGAGACTACGGAAGTCTCTCCCCCAACAAAAGCTTTACGGCAGAAGTTCGACTGTTTATGAAAAAGTTTCTTTGACCTTTTGTGTCTGAGGATGACTGATACTTTGCTTTGACATTCATTTAAGACTCTGTTCAGCATCTCCAGTCATCCTAGATATAAAAGGTTAAAGTGTGTGCACACATGTGCGTGTGTACATATGCATGTGCCTGTGTGTGTGTGTGTGTGTGTGTTTGTGGGTGTGTGGGTACATGGCATTGGACCATGTGTTCACCTGTACTTGTGGCACTGAGTTAAGTGAACCCAGAAGTACTTACTGGAAGACCCATTTGACCTGCTTTACCCCAGGGTCCTGCTGTCCCTGGTGAGCCCATCTCTCCTTTGTCTCCATCCTTTCCAGAAAGTCCGCTTCCTCCTGGAGGCCCCTGGGAGCCAACGGAAAGGGTTTACTTTTAAGAATGTGGTGAAATAATTTTGTCATTTAATAAGTATATTTTTATTTGACACACCAAAGGTAATTAATCCTGATATTTTAAACACTTCTTTTTTTAAAATTAATTTTATTTAAATTACAAACAATCTTATTTCACATACCAACCCCAGTTCCCCCTCTCTCCCATCCTCCCATCCCCCCATGTAACTCCCCATCCCACTTCCCATCCACTCCTCAGAGAGGGTGAGGCTTCCTGTGGGGGATCATCAAAGTCTGTCAGTTTCATTTGGACAGGACCTCGGCTTTCTCCAAGTATATGGGTTCACAGAGTATCCCTCCATAGGGAATGGGCTTCCAAAGCCCATTGCGCACTAGGGATAAATACTGGTTCCACTGTCCAAGGCCCCATAGACTGCCCAGGCCCCTGCAACTGACACCCACATTCGGAGGCTAGTTCAGTCCTATGCTGATTCCCTAGCTGTCAGATTGGGGTGAGCTTCCATTTGCTCAGGTCAGCTGCTTCTGTGGGTTTCCCCAGCATGGTGTTGACTTCTTTGCTCATCACTCCTCCCTCTCTACAACTGGATTCCAGGAGTTCAACTCTGTGCGTAGGGGTGAATCTCTGCAAAATAATAGCTTAGGGCTGCGAATGGAGATAAGTTGCTATAGTGTTTGTCTAGAACACGTGATGCCTGGGACAGGGAGTTGGTCTCCAGCTTTGACTAAAACCTATAATACCAGAACTTGGGAGGTAGTTTAAGTCGTCCTCAGGATATAGTGTGAAGTTGGGGCTAGCCTTGGATACACTGTTTCAATATCTATAGTTTACCTTTAATCCATCTTTTCCTTGGAGGCCTTCTTCTCCTGGAGCTCCTGGTTCACCCTGTTTTATTTTGTAGCAGAAAAGCAAGATTAAGTTTTTGGCTATCTCACTGATCTTATTTTACAGAATGTTCTTAGAAGTAGTAGGAAGTAGCTAGTTTGTAGTTAATTTCTATTTCAACCTTATCTCTAAAGAAGGCCTTACCATATAATAAACATGGTTTGATTTGCCTGGAAGAGCTCTGGAGATACCTAAGATATCCAGGTTTGTTCATTCAGATACAATATGCACCTGGAATACTAATGCATTTTAGATAATTAAAGGTAATTAATTCTGCAGTCTGGAAATTAATAAATGTTGCCATTGCATGAGATGCAGTTCCTTGATGTAATGAATTTACATGGGTTAATATAACACAATTCAGACATGACCATTTTACCAGACGTTCAGTTTCTGTATTCTCTCCCTTCAGAGAGGCAAAAAAGTATGGCCAAGGCACATCAATAAGCTACATTTGAGATACAAAATTTGCAAAAATATGGACTATAGCTTATGAAGCTGTTACGGCTGTGTTGCTTTCTTCATAACTAAGTTGAAGTGAATTAATTAGTACTAATTAATAGTATACCATTCCCATTAATGATCCCTGTATTAAGAGGATCTCTACTATACCCACCCCACAAAAGGAAAATGCAAATAAACAAGCCAGGTGCAAGAAATAAATCTCCTTACTTTATCTGTTAGTGAACAAAGACTTTTAAAAATTATCTAGAACATTTTTACTTTGGGGAAAAAAAAACTTACCATGGTTTAAAGCCTGTCTATATTATTATAACTTTTCTAAGATACAACTAATAACAATTTTCTTGCATCTCATTAGCTTCCTATGGCCCTGGGGTGGTTTTGAAATGAACATTACATTTCAATGTTTCATCTGTCTGTTAGGTTAGAAAATGTCCTGAAGTGTTGACCATTGATTTGTGAATTTCTTCTCTGTGCAACACTAAGCGGTAACCACGTGACCATGCATTTTTAGGCAAGGCTCATCAGAGCACATCTAGCTTTGAGAAAAGTCACTTAGGATTCTAAATGCCCAACTAAGAAAGCAGATAGGGTTTACTGCGTAGTTTTTAAATTCACGAGACATTTTGTAGTGCATGTGAAAGGCTTATTACTCTACTTTTGGATGTGTCTAAGGTAGCTACATTTTGAGTTCCCCACAAGCAAGTAGATCAGTGCGTTAAGTTTGTTTACTGAGGGTACTCACCCGTGACCCTGGCTCTCCCACCGATCCAGTGCTGCCGGTTGGTCCAATGTCTCCCTGAAGAGACAAAGAGCAAACTAAGCCTTTTCCCTCCCAAGTTGCTCTTCTAATTACGGAGTGAATATCATAAGGGACAGCATCCAAAGTACTTTCTCTCCGATGGCCTTCATCTGCCTTAAAGAACGTGTTTGTGATCGGTGTAATGGGGCACACACCTTGCCCCCTCCAAAGGAAAAAAAAAAAGATGGTGTTTGTCAAACTGTGGCAAGTGGTTACCTTAGCGCCTGGTTCACCTTGTAGGCCAGATTCTCCCTCAGTGCCTGGAGGTCCCTAAAAGAGAAAGATGTGACATGTTCCAAGGGCTGTACCAACTCCATGTGAAAGCGGTTTGAGTTCCATCTCAAAGGGAAGAGTCTGTGTGCAGAAGAGGGTTTCCCCACATCCACCAACACTTCAAAGTTTACTACGGAGATTTTCTGGGATTCTTTAACAGTTTAAATGTCAAAAACAGCTCCACTTGAAACCAGGACAGTAAAGAATATTTCTTCCCCAATCTTTCATCTTTGAGACCTTAGAGGATATGAAATAATCTATTTCCTGCAGATTGGAACTATCTATCCCCAGATTCAAAGATGTTTTCCCGCTTCTGATCATCACATCCCTTCCTCCCGTGGTCACTGAAAAACCTGCTTCCTTAAGATCAATTAACTTTCTTACTTTGTAAAAAAAGAGATATACTGTATGAATTAATGATGAGGTTGTCACACTGAAAAAGAGATGCATATTCTGAATTATTTTTTCCAGGCTTCTTTCTTGATGAGTCTAGCTCTGGTGGGTGACCTTTTGATTATTTTGACCTTGAAAGCATAAAATTTCTTTCAGTCTTTGGCTCTGTCTAGGTCTGAAGCTCCAACAGCTGCTGTTGTGTTATTTTTGTCTCCCAGAAGTAGAAGATGTGTTTTTTGCATCCTCTGTGTACCCCATCAATCTTTTTTACTCACATCCTTTATGGGTTTGCTGAGAGTTTTGCGTATGTGTTAATCATATCATTGCATCTCTCCCATTTTCTGCTAATTCTACTGATCTATGAGGACAGAAGATCTTTCCATCTTCTGATGCATTGTTGTTCAATTTCTTTCTTCAAAGATTAAAAATTCTTGTACAGATTTTCACCGGCTTGGTTAGAATTCCACCAAGACATTTTACATTATTTGAGGCTATTTTGAAGGGTGTTGTTTCCTTGATTTCTTTCTCTACCATTAGTTCACCATTGGTATATAGAAGGGCTGCTGATTTTGTTTTTTAGTTATTCTTGTATTCAGCCACTTCGCTGAATATGTTTATCAACTGTATGAGTTTCCTGGTAGAATTATTTGGGCCACTTATGTATACTATCATATTATCTGCAATTGGTGATACTTTAAGTTCTGCCTTTCCAATTTGTATCCCCCTGATCTCCTTTAGTTGTTTTATTCCTCTAGCTAGAACTTCAAGTACTGTATTGAATAGAAATGGCATGAGTGAACAGCTTTACCTTGTTCCTGATTTTAGTGAAATTGCTTTGTGTTTCTCACCGTTTAATTTGATGTTAGCTTTTGGCTTGCTGTATACTGCCTTTATTGTGTTTAGGTTATGTCCCTTGTAGCCTTAGCTCTCTAAGTCAATCTCATTTGTTTTTGTTTCCTTATACATGTCTTATTTTCCCCTCCCCCAAGTAGGGTAAAACAGCAGTTGCTTTGCTCCTTTATTTCCATATTAGCACCTGCATTACTGGCTCTAACGCATTGCCACACAATGGTTGTTGATGCTGACTACACTCTGAAATTGATTATTAACTTGTAAAGGAATCAGTGACTCTAAATGCATTCTTGCATCTCTAGCTAAGTTCATAGTCAGAGGTATGGCATAGTCAAGAAAGGTGAACTAAGTCTCCAAGCCTAGAAGCAGAATAACATTTTATAAAGAATAACTAATAAAGAACATGTCAGAAGTAAACCATATAGAACATTTTTTTAAAATTGGTTAATTTTGGTGTACGATTTTTTTCTTATTTGCAAGTTTTTTTTAATAATAAAGTTCATAGAATTTTTTTTAAAAAAGAAATGGATGTTTATTTAAAGGTTATGCAACTATTAAAGAATTTCAAGAATGATACAATAAAGATAAGCTGTGATGAGTGGCTGAGAGTGTGAGGGGAGTTGGGGAAGACACAGCATAAAGCTGGAGGAAAAATGGATATAAGGTTTATTCAAAGAGAAAAGGGAAGGAGAGGGTGAAGGAGGAGTAGCTTAGGGTTCCTATGGTATCTCTCCGTGAGATGCTCCTGAACACAGAAGATTAGGAAAGTGATGGCCTTCAAGTATAGAAAATGAGGAATACGAATGCACAGCTTCTCACCAGAGATGTTAGTGGGCTCCCTAGATGGATACATGAAACACCATCAGGATGTAATTAAGTTGGTGTAAGAGGAAGGCATGAGTTCCAGCAAAGCCAAGGAAGTGGAAGTACAGTTTCATCTGAGTCTGAGAAAGGCCAATGAGAAGATAGAGTGAGGGAGAGAGAGAGAGAGAGAGAGAGAGAGAGAGAGAGAGAGAGAGAGAGAGAGACTTTCATAAATACTAGGGAAGTGGGGCAATGTATAGTCTTACTACAGAGTAAGAAACAGAAATGAAGTTATTGATTTCATAATTATAACAAACATGGCTTATTATTCCAAATGCTGTAGTAAATAGGATGACTTCAAAGGTCTAAACAGAATGAAGAGCTATGAAGTCAGTTCTCTCCAAGGAAGGGAAATCTTTAGTCACTTCTTGTTTAATCATTGCAGTGAACTAGAGGAGTTCTTAGAGGAGAACTTCTCATGTATAAAATAACCTTTGCACATTACTTCTGTCATTTATAGTTTTAGGTTTATTTTCCAAACATAAAACACTATAAAATGACTTTTCATGACATCTACTTAATGTATTTTATCCACATAGTCTTGTAAAACATATTGAATCAAGGATTAGAATGAACTGTAAGCTATTACCTCCACACCCATCTCTCCAGGAGGTCCAGCACTACCCGGCAGCCCTCGTGCTCCCTGTAGTCAAATAAATTGAAGAGAGGGGAACCAAAGTTTGCTTTTGAAATAAACAATGCATCTCAGTTTCATTTTCATGAATAGTACTTACTGGCATATTACTTTATTCCCTAGGTAAATAAAATTATAGCTTTATTTGATCCATTGGCATTGTTTCATGAATGATGTTAAACTATGCTTGTAGTCAAAATAAAAATAAAGGGTACTATTACTCATTCATTCAACAAACATTCCTCAAATACCTACTGGTTATCGAATATTGAGCTCCCCTACTTATCTTGAACTGTGGATTGTCTAGAGGAGGCTATCTTGGCTTTAGGTTGATAAGGGAGAGCTCAGTCTATTGTGGGTGGTACCATTCCCTAGGCAGGTGGTCCAAGGCTTTACAAGAATGTGACCTGAGCATAGACCTATAATGGAGTTAGCAAACAGCATTTCTCCATTGCTTCTGCTACATCAATGATAGGCTACATCTGCATCCTATCAATTGAGAAAAATCCTTTCTTCCTCTAAGATGCTTCTGGGTAGAATGTTCTATCACAACTGCAGAATGAAAATAGAACATGTGCTAAGTGCTTTCACAATGCACCTTATTTATTATGCATGGCAGGCTCATATCTGTTTATAACCCTTGAAAATATGTGACAAACAAAAATGTTTTAAAGGAAAAAAAATGTGATTTTTTTTTCTATTTCTATAGTCTTGCTTTTCCCAGAGTGTCAATGGTATATAACATTCAAGTTTGGCTTCTGTCATTTAGCAGTGTGCATTTGTGGTTTTCCTAGGGATATTTTAACTTGCTGGCTCATTTCTTTCCTTATTCTTTTTTTTTTTTTTTTTTTTGCCAAATAAATGAATATAAGTAAATATATCCATTCTTCTGATTTAAAGGTTTTTTTTCCCCCCCAATATGTGCCCTTCACAAAGCTTAGGGCTTTTCCCTTTATTCCTAATTTTCTGAGAGTCTGTGTTTTACTTTATACCATGAATGGGAATTTGTCAAATACTTTTCCTTGACGTATTTATAACACTGTATTTTCTTCTTCAGACTACTAAGGTGATGGATTACATTGGTAGTTGAGTGTTAAACTCCCTTTGCTTACTTGGAATAAATCCTGCTTGGTCATGATGTATAATACACAGCATTACATCTGATCTAACATTGTGTTGAGAATTCCATACTTATGTTCCTGAGTGACAGTGGTCTGTGTCTTTTCCTGTGACGTGTGTGTCTGTTGGTCCTGGGACAATTCTGGCCTCCTGGAAAGTTCCAGGTAGAAGTCAGATCTGCTTCCAGCTCCTGTCAGGCTACAGAGAATCCCTATCATTTTTTTGCTAAATGTTCATTTGACATTGTCAAGGAGAACACCCAGGGTTGATGCTTTCTGTTTTGGTAAGTTATTGGTTATATATTTAAGTGGTTGTCCAATGTAGACTTATTCAAATGATCAGTTTTTAAGTAATTTTTTGTCGAAATAGTCTATTAAGTAGCTGGTGAATCATATCTAAGTTACAGAGTTTGTGGACTTATGAGCTATTCATCCCTTTTAGTTTTCATGTGAACAGTAGGGATGGACTCTCTTGTATCTGACAGCAGTGATTTGTGTTTTCTTATATTCTCTTGATTATTATGCCCATGGATTGAGGAATTTTCTCTCTTTTTTTCTTTTATAAGAATAAGAGTTTGGGTTAATTGATTTTTTTTAAAACTAGATTTGGCTTCTATTTTTATTATTTACTTTATTATGTTTACTTTATAGTTAATTTTCTTATTTTTAATTGGAAGCTTAGACTATTTGAAACCATTTGCCTTTCTAATATTTCTTTTATAAAAATTAAAAAAGATTCATTTATTTTTTATGTGTATTGGTGCTTTGCCTGTATATATAGTGTGTGAATGTGTCAGATCCCCTAGGACTGAGTTATAGATAGTTGTGAGCTGCCATGTGGGTGCTGGAAATTGAACTTGGGTCCTCGGGAAGAGCAGCCTGTGCTCTTAATTGCTGAGCAATCTCTCTAGCCCCTTTAATATTTCTTTTAACTTTTATGTTACAAATTTCCTTCTAATTTACAATTTTTAGGGTGTATTTTCACTTTAAGTTAGCTAAGATATTTGGAAGTTTTTCTTCTGAGTTTTATTTCATCATCATTGTTGTTATTTGTGTGTGTGTGTGTGTGTGTGTGTGTGTGTGTGTGTGTATGCATGCGTGCATGTATGAATATGTGTGTACCACAGTGTTCTTGCAGAGGCTAGAGAGCAATCAGAAGGAGTTCGTCTGTCTTTGCACTGTGGGTCCCCTGGACTGAACTAAGGTCTCCTTGTCCCCTTTTGCCTACTGAGCCATGGTGCTGGAATTGGATTTAATTTTTAACACTATATTATTTAGACATGTGTTTTTAAATATCCTGAAGGTTTGAGATTTTTCAGCATGTTTCTATTTTCAAGTTAATCATGCCATGCTCTGTGAGCAGACATTGTATTATATTTCTACTTTGAAATTTGTGAAGACATATTTTTAGCCCACAATATGGTCTATACTGGGAAATGTTTTATGTGAGCTTCAGAAGAATGTGTATTATGTTGTTGAATCAAGGTTTGGTTTTTTTTTTTTTGGTAGCTATAGGAATTTGCTTTACTTATACAAAATGTCCCAATTCCTGGATATTTGCATTAAATTAACCACAGACCTTGTCCCTACACTCACTTACCACCACAGAATTAAGCAAAGGCTAAAGAGAGCAACAGAGGACCCGAATGACTAAATGAAATTAAAGGTGGATAGGCACCAAACCTTCTCGAAGGGTCAACTGGTATTTTGGGTTTGTGGGTCATGGTTTTTTTTTTTTTTTTTTTTTTTTTTTTTGTCTCAACAGTTCAACATTTCTGTCACAGCTTGAAAATAGTCACACATGGTGTGGCTATTTTAGAGGCAATTGATTTGCAAGACAGTGGCTGGACTGCCAGCTTTATTTCTTTTGTCCTTCCTTCCTTCCTTCCTTCCTTCCTTCCTTCCTTCCTTCCTTTCTTCCTTCCTTCCTCTCTTTATCTTTTTCTCTCTCTTCCTTTCTTTCTTTTGCATTCTTATTCTTTTCTACCAACATTGTGAAATTTTAAACATTTAACTCCAGCCTTACATCCACTACAAAAATAGTTAGAGGAGACCATTGTTTGAGACTAAGACTTCTCATTAAGCTCCAACAGAACAGAATGAAAACACAAATACTACAGAGCTACACACTGAACCAAAAGGAAGCTTCAATCCTCTCTTCTGAGAACTCAAGGAGGAATAAAATTCACCAATCAGCCACTCTCAGTCATGGATGCTCCTCCTGCCGTAGTCCCTACCGAGGGGACACTTGGCCACCATGACTGGGTGCCACGCCTTTTCTCTGACTGTCTGTCTCACTCTACTTTGTGAAGCTCTCAGGCCTCCTTTGCTTTTTGCTTCTGTCTGTAAAAGCCAACTTTTGAGCTCAGTTCTCTGAAACATTTTCTATTCTGTAGAATAAAACGTTCCCTTCTGTAGCATAAGAGGAACACCAACTGGGACTAAGCTCAATTCTCATGGTTGCTTATTGATTTATTATTCACTTATTGTGTATGGGGGGGCACTAGCTACAAAGCACAGATGGAAGCCAGAGAGTGGCATACAGGACTAATTCCTTTCTCTTTCCTTCCACCATGTGTGTCCCAGGTGTCAGACTCAGGTGGCCAGGCTTAGCACCAAGCACCTTAACCTCAAAAGGCATTTTATTTTCTCTCCTCTCCACTATCGTCATGTTATGGTACTATGTCTCCAAACAACGATGTCTTTGTGTGGAGTTGGAGTTATAGGTAGTTGTGGGCCACCACAGAGTTTCTGGGAAATAAACTTGAGTCCTCTTCAAGAGCAGCAAGTTATCTTAACTTCTGAGCCATCTCTTTAGCCCCAAATCTCATATTTATAACTTTAGTGCACTTCTCTGATCTGAATCCAACAGCCAATATAACTTTTCTCAAAGGCATCTCAAATTCATCCCTCAATTTGTAATCTTCAGTTCTCCAGCCCAATGTTTCCTTGCTTCCTTGCTTCAATAAATTATATTTAATGCAGGAAGCCAGACACTTAGGAATAACACTTCAAAATACTTCAGTTGCTCCTACTGCTCTTAACGTCTTTGGAATCTTTTCCCTCTCTCCACTTCTTTCTTGCCTGTTTATCGTAGACTTTTGGCTGCATCTTTTCCGGATCTTGGCTCTTGACTCCTACTGCTTGGTTTGATAATATTTATAAGACAATAATCTGATCATGGTTCTTTCCCTCTGGTGACATTCATTTATTTTTAAGATAACTGTACAAATCCCTTGGAACAGGACACATAGAGCTGTGCGTGTGTGTGTGGGCACTATGTCCTTTCTGTTCTTGTATTGTACCTGCTTTCTGTCCAACTGTCATAGCCATGTTGCCTCTACTTCTGGAACAAAATTTTCTCATCTTGGCTCAAATAACCATTTCTCTCCTTTCACATCACATGGCTCTGCTCAGGGAAGCTTTCTTGAGTGTCTAGATTATGACAGCTTATTTATCATCAACCCTCTAGATCTTAACTCCTACACAGTTTGTCCATTCTTCCACATGGATTCAACCACGTACACAAAGAAGAAAATCTTTAAAAATGTCTATCATAATCATGTATAGACCTTTTCTTCCCAATGTTCCTTAAGCAATATACTATAGTGATTATGCAAAAAGATTTATATCTTATTAGGTTTTATAAACAGCCCAGAGATGATTTAAAGCACACATGAAGAAATTAATAGGTGACAAAAGACACAATTCTATTGTGTATGAGGATTTTGAGCATCCACAGACTGTCTGTGAGCAGGGTACTGAACTGCTTCCCCGGGGATATTGAGTTCTGACTATACTTTCTGAGATTTATCTCAATTTACAATTACCTGTTTATATATGTAATACTCAAATCAATACCTTATTCTATCGCTAGACTGGAAACATCATGCTTACTGTTAAACACCAAGAGAAGATTCTTAATAACTGTTTGTTGACTGAATCCAAGATTGGTGATCTATTTAATAGAAATGTTTGTCGTATAATGTAGAAAATGGCCATGGAAGGGTTGTAGTTCTTATTGTATTATTGTCAAAATGTAAAATGTATTTAATTTTTGTGCCATTTTCATTTTACTAATTTCATTCATTTCTATGATTGAACTAGTAGTTCCGATATATAACACAAAATCTATTATGTCCATCATAAATTGGTTTACACCTTATTTGCCAGTCCCATGACACTTCCCTTCACATTGACATTTAAGCTCTATGAAGCCATTTTGTTAACAAGTCTCTTCTTGAATGGATTTTAAGTAACAAGTCTTCCCTTACATAAATCCTAAGAGTTTGCTTCCACTGTGACCACAGATTGACTGATAATACTTGCCTAATAAAATCCCATCAGTCTTCATTCCATTTTCTCAGTGTAATGTACCTTACTATGTCAATGATACCTTTGGGCATGGCCTTTTGTTTATTCAGTTTAACAAACACACTTTGGACAAATGGACTATGCTGGGCACCATATCAGGAAAGAAGGCTAAAAAAGGTAACAGAAATCATCTCTGGCTTCCAGGAGCTTACGGAGTTTAGATAGTTAAGGAAGCTGTGTAGAGGAGGGTTGTATTATTTCAGGTCAAAGAAACATTAGTGATGGATAGCAGGCTGAGGCATGGAAAACTGAGCAAACCAAAGGCTTAGTTATGCAAAATCAATGTCACCACTTAGATATTTATCAGGCCAGGATTATACATATTGTGAACCCTTACTGTTCAGTGAGCTTATGTCATAGGTTAAGTGTGAACCTTTTATTCTTTGGTAACTTTTTCCACTTGTTACTATCTGAATTAATTGCACCAAGGCCACCTGTAAACCTTTGTGTCAACTGGTGATGATATCGACCTAGTGGCTCAAAAGACTTTATTGTGTTATGAATCTCAGAAGCACATTCCAGCAATCTGACATGACCGGCCTGAAGAATGACTTCACTGGTAATAAACATGAAGCTGTGAGGGAGGAATGTATCCTGAGCTTTCCTTTGCATAATGCACTTTCCATGGAAACTCCAGAGCTGAAACAAGCCGTGGGATTGTGGCATAGGTTTCAGTATTGTTGATGTAACAGCATTTCTGTCACATTTGCATATTTGGGCCAATCAGATACAGAGACTGGCTTTGCTATGTGGTCTTCATTATGGAGCTGGTGATTGGGTATGAGGCAATGTAACAACTGCAAGAACAGTAGGCCATGTAGAAAGCGAATTCCTGGAATCACCAAAACAAAGTTTTCTTTTTTCAAAAGCAGAAACACGGCCCTCTTAACAATGGCAGAGAAAAGCACCATAAGAGAAAAAGCACCAAATTTGACTGCACGAAGCCACACAGGTACTGAAAACAACACACACACGCACACACACACACACGCGCGCGCACACACACACACACACACACACACACACACACACACACACACACACGTTTGTATCCTGCAGAGCGGATACAGGAAAACACCCCTTCTGTAGAGTTTGTGTTTGCTATCTAGAGTCAACACTGTTTCTAAAGCAGGTCACTCACAGCATTGCTGGTGAACAGGTGTGGAAAGTAAAGAAAGTCACAATCAGAAAAGCAAAAAGAAACTTACTGGTTCTCCAGCAGGCCCCCTGTCTCCTGGGCTGCCAGGGAGTCCTTGTAAGCCCTGGACAAACAAATGAAAAGGTTTTCATTAGTTAATCACCTTGCCTTTGCTTGTGGGTTCTTTTCTATTCATTACTTATTTTTTCTTTTTGTTATAAAATATATGTAAGATTTACTATAACTAAGAATATAATTCTTTAGCATTAAGTAGATCCACAATGTTTATCAACCATCCCCATCCATCTTCAGAACCTTTTCATCTTCCCAATACCTGTTCTTTTGTGTCTGGCTTATTTACTGGGTGGAATATCTTCAGGGTTCCTCCTTGTGGTGTGGATCAAACATCCCTTTTAGAGTTGAATAATATTCCCAGGGATGTATAAGCCATATTTTGTTTACTCATCTGTCAGGGAACACTAAGGTTGCCCCAGCTTTTGGCTGTTGTGAATATGGGTATGCAATATCCGAGTCCTGGCTTTCTATTACTTTGGGCATTTACTAGAAGTGGAATTATGTTTATTAAAATTATTAAAATTATTTTTATTTATTTTATTTATTTTTTATTGTGGTTAGGCTTTATTTCAGGTGTGAAAAATCATATGTTCTTTATTTACTTCAGGTTCCTAAATTAATCGACAGAATTAATACAAAGACCTTGCTCTGCCTGCTCTTCTAACTAAAGCATGTAATCAAAGTTCAGACCTTTTAATGGTGCCTGTTCTGTAATGCATGTTTGGACACAGAACCAACTTAGTATCCATTAATGTGGATTCTGTGCTGAGGTCATTTCACAAAACAAGAATACAATTTCCATGTTCTCAATTTTTATTGAGAATTAAAATGAAAAGCACAAATTGGCTTAAAATAAAAATCCTGTTTAAGGCTTTTCAAATGTTATTAATGATATATGACTTTGCAACAGAACTCACAACTCTATGACTTCAACTCGGTAATCATGGGAACAAATGACCATGAAAATAACATAAATAAATACTGTTGTAGCTATGTATTTGGAGTCTGTGATCAGTATATGATAGTAATCACAGTTCTTATAAGCACAAGAGATTTATTTTTCAAAATTTGTTATAATTATGGTTATTATTATTATTATTAGTGGTTTGTGCACATGTGTGTATATGTGTGTATGTGTGTGTGTGTGCATGTGTGTGTAACATAAATGCACAGGTTCCTGTGTGCCTGAGGACATCAGAAAAGTCTACTGGATCCTTGGGAGCTGAAATCACAGGAACCACCCTGTGCAGATGCTGGTAATCAAACACACATCTTCTGGAAGAGCAGGGATTGCTCACAATTCTGACACATCTCTTTAGTTCCTTCCACATGAATATTCCTTTATAAATGTAGATAAACTGAGGCTCAAAAGGATTGAATAATTTATACAAAGTTAAATCAGGCAGTAAAAGGAAGAATCAGTATTTGACCAACAATATGTCTAACTCAATACAAGATATGTATCACTACCTATTCCATAAGAAGGTAATAACAGTGATACATGATCATTTTCCCCTGAAGTTCCCCTCTCCCTCAATGGCCTCTTTATATTGAGGAATGAAATATAGAGTTTTATATCTAATGAAAACTGCTTCAAGATTAATAGTGAAATAAAAATATTTCACAAATCAAAACCAGAATAATTCACCACTAGCAAACTTCCCTAAAAGAAACTTAAAAGATGTTTCATAGACTCCAGGAAAACATCAGCATTTGGACATTCAAACCTTCAAGAAAAAATGAAGATCACTAGGAATGGCAAATGAGAACATAAATAGAAAGCCTGTCTCCTCACACCAAGCTCTAAAGTATACCACTAATTTCTATTAAAGCAAATGAAAATTTACCAATATTCATACAAAATCTTTGTTTACAATGAGGGATTCATAATATATATGGATGTAATACATTAACAAAACACGGTATAAAGGCAACATGTTAATAAATTGTCCTATGTGATGTTTTTCTACATATATTCTGTCACATAAATACTTCCTTCCTAGCATTTTATGGGGAAAGTTTACTGAACCTGACCTAGAATAACTACTTAAATTATTAATCAGTACAAATCAAAGGTCAATAGATAACATATACTTTCCAAGACAGAAGACATTGAACAGAACAGAAGAAAACAAAGTACAAAATAGACCTAAGTTCAGTCATGACAATTAGACTAAACAGAAATGGACAAAATACCGCAATTAAAAGGCAGAGATTATCAGAAAAAGCAAGATCCAACCAGAATATGTTTAATTAAATATCAAGATAAAAATGGGAGATCACGTCAGATAAAGGACTATTGAGAATGACACTCCCATCAAATGAAGCCATTTCCAAAGCAGTATTGCCAGGAAAAAAATAATCAAAACTGAACAAAATTATAATAGAATTTCAAACCACATGAAGGAAAATTAGAAAGAAGGAAAGAGGAAAATCAGAGACATACAAGATCAGAGAGATTTTTACACACCTGTCTTATGGATTGATAGGATGCCTTCATTAAAAATTCAGTAATTTATGAATGTTATAATTTTTATGATTTAGATAAACTGAAACAGTCACCCAGGCTCTATGACCCCACAGAACCATCGAATCATGGGGTTTCTTTCTGATTTTGACTTTTGGGATATTTATATATGGGAACAAGGTTGGTCTATAGACAAATACACCCTTCCTAGTTTTCAGGATTATTAGGGTACTTGTTGGATTCACTTTTCACTTAGTGGTTTTTTTTTTTTTTTTTTTTTCATTCTGACTGTTTGGGTTCTTGGGGCAGGGTTGGTAGATCAGTGATAGAGCATGTACTTAGACACTCAGTCTCTACCACAAAGAAGAAGAAAAAGGAAGAGGAGGAAGAATAGGAAAGGGAGGGAAGGAGGAGGAGGAGTAAGATCATGGAGATTCAGAAGAGGATTCTTTTATGGATCTTATTAGTTTCTTCATCATGGGTGAACAAAAATATGCTCTAGTAGTCAATGTATTAAACCAAAGCTGTGTTGTTTTTAGGAGCAGGCAAGAAAAGTTGTCTGATCTCTAATACATTTTGTGTAATAGAGAATTGCCTATTTTGACAGTATCTAAAGGACCAGAGACTGTAAGATTACTCTGAAAGATAATGTGAATCTTTGGGGCTCATTTAGGTTTTCCAGTGAAATGTTCTCTGATTTCCTAAAACTCCACTTCAGCAAAGGAGGAGCGAATGTAGGCAAAGAATCTCATGAACCTCAACAGATATCATAAACTCATCATTTTCTGTCCTGGCTGTGGCATCTGTTAAGGTGGCTTAACCCTTCCAGGAGTCCACAGGACTCTGTGCTATATAAGTTAGTTGACAGACAATGATCCTAATGCCATTCAAGGTTAAGGAAATGTCTCATTAATCTAAGTTGGAAATGAAGATAAAATTCTAAGGTAGGTCAACAGTATACAGAATGAGTAATTCTATTTCTGTGAGCCTCACTTTTTTAAAATGAAAGAAATGAACTTGTGCTCAGCCTTGCCTCCAATTTACAATGTGATTAAAATCTACAGAAGAATCATTTATACTGGCATGATAATAAACTCTCACATGGTGAATACAAAGACACAAGGGGTGTCCTTTGGGAATGCTCTTTTTTTGGGACAATCATTTATTTTTTCTCTTTTGAATCTCTGGTATTTTAGATTTGAGCATTGTCAAATACATTGCTATTATGAAAAATAACAGGCAGGGGGCAGCAGATTTCAAATAGGACAAGCAAAGGTAGTCATCTATGACAACCACCACCAGCAGAAACACAGATATCCTGGCCTTTTCTGTCTCCTCAACTGTAATCCATTTAGAGTAGCAAATTATTCAAATTTAATGCATAAGATATATTTGTATGATAAAACAAAGTGTCATTAGCATTATGATTCAGAATGAAACCAATTCAAATATTTATACATGTAAGCTATGTACTAATTTATGTAATTATCATATGTGCATATGTTTGTATATGCATTTTTTAAAAAAGTATTTCTCTACTCATTCACGATGACAGTTACAGAAATTATTGCTTCTCGGGGGAAGAGCTGTGCAATTCTGGTAAGATGTTAGAAGGTAGGGAAATGCCTAACACCATCTTGTAGCAGTATAAGAAGAAAGCAGAAGCATGTCTCTGCACTCCAAAGGACAAACGAGTACTCAAGACGAGGAAGAATGGAACTAGGACAGAGGTCACAGAAGCTTCCTGTATTCACTTTATTACATCCTGTTGTGGTTATGTACCTAACCTTTTCATTTCAAAGGTTTTAGAGAAGAATTCATCATAATGAAAATAAAGTAAAAGCAACATTTATCACATCAGCTTAGTTATTAATAAAATAACACACTAAAGACAAAAACTTACTGGTTTTCCTTGAACTCCCCTCTCCCCTGGGCTTCCAGTCTTACCCTACACATGGGGGAAAAATACTTAGGTCATAATAGCTTTTTCTCAAAATAGCACAAGGAAGAATGTAAAAGGCAAGGAGGTAGAAAATGTTCATGCTGAAGGAGTTTATTACTCACAGTAAGACCATGAGGCCCTCTTTTTCCTTGATTTCCCTTTTCACCCTAACAAAATATCAATATCACATGGACTGGTCAGAATTTAAGTCATAATCTTACACATGGTACCATACAGAAATAGAAGCATCAAGTATGTAGCTCAATATTGAAACATATGGCTGATGTGCAGTAAAAAATTATGCATTATAAGGGAATACACCATTATTTAGATATACAGGGCACAATAGCTCTGCCAAATTTAACAGCACATGAAATGGAGAATCAGCAAGTACCTTAGCGCCGTGGGCACCTTGATCCCCTGGGAGGCCATCTGGTCCTCTGGGTCCCTACAGGTAGAAGTAAATAACCCATTGTTAATTTGAAATGCTCCTTTTAAAATAATAATCAAGTTCATGTTTTAAAGGTTTTATGCCACATAGTAAGTTAGATGAGTACAAAAATATCTACAAGAGTTGCTGAAGTGTCTATAACCTAAGGTGATTATTTTCTCATTTTGTTTATTACTTAGTAGTCTTTTGGGATTTATTATTAAACCAACTCCAAGTTAACTTAGAAGTGGCTGGGTTGTTTGTCTGAACAGTATTCTTAAGTTCCATTATTTTGGAATTGCTGTTGTTTCTTCACATCTTTAGAAAATAAACATTCAGGACACTGCACTTACTATTGCCTACTGGATAGCAGTTACTGGAAGATGGCAGGAGCACAGGATAGGCAGAGCAATGTCATTTAAGGGCAAATCTCAATATTCACTCAATAATTAGCTATAAAGAAGAGCCAGCTGTTCTCAGACAGCGATAAGTCTAACTTGCTAAAGCATAGCTATCTCAAAGGGGCTCTGTAGCGGACTTAATTCTCTGCCCCCTACACAAACACCTTCTGTAGAAAAGAGATAGCTCCACAGGATACATTACCATGAGTTTCTTCATCATGGAACTGATGGCATGCATAGTTAAATCACACAAAGAGTAAATAATTCAAGGCCAAGAGAGGGAGTCCATAGGGAGGCAGACCTGGTACATTTGTGTCAGGAATGGAGACACCATCTGGAAGTGCAAGGTCAGCCTCATGGGCTTGTGAGGTGAACAGACAGAGGGACAGCATGAAGAGTGGAGATGCTTAAAGGATGAGACTGGGCTTGGCTAGGCTGAGTTGACCACAAGCAGAGAAGTGTCAAGACAGCAAGGCAGTTGGTGATGGGGAAAGCAGAAGACTCCTGTATAGAGCAATTATACAATCTCTCCTGTCAACTGCTGAGTGGAAAGGCCCTAAGTTGGCTCCATGCCTTCTTCTATATGCCAGCAAGGCCATAACTTTATTATCAAAATCTATTTGCTACAACATGCCTCTCCAGGCTGGATTCCTGGGCTTCCTGTACTCACAGGCACACTCACAGGTTTGGAGGGAGCACTCCCACCCACCAGGATCTGTTGCTCCACTCTTCCTGTTAATATGAAAGCTTATGCAACTACTCATTTGTATAATGTTTTACAACAAAGTACTCTTGTGTAAAATGTTCCACGGTGGTTATTATTGTTATTTTTATGTTCCTGGTGCTGAACTTGGAACCTCTAACATGAATACAAAGTTCACCATGGAACTATTGATGCTCTTCCATCACTTACTATTTAATTTACCAAGAGATATCTCTGCTCACAGTGATGAGGATGACAAAAGTCTACTTCAAGAGGTCACATTAAAGTCATAAAGCCAAAGGTTGCCATTAAGGGTTTGAAAACACTGTTCTAAGAAAGACTGGCATTCTGTAAGCTGCAGGCAAGAGTGAGTTAATGAGCTAAAGGCGTAGCATGGTGACATAGTAGGTCCCTCTGGTGGTTCCCACTGGCTAATGCACACTCTTGATCTCGCTCCTAAGACAAATGAAAGTTCAGGATAAGGCCCAAAAGAATTAGACACACTGTTAGAACAGGCACGTAATTCAGCATGGTATTAAAACAAAACAGTAAGCTTGAAAGTGTCTCATGGATCTCTTATGAGTCTTTTCTGGGTGACAGCATGCTGCACAAACAGAATACCCAGACTTTTCCTTATACCCTTAAGAATGTCAAAACTGGCCACAGTGAGCTGGGAGAGGTGTCTCAAAGCCAGAGTAAGAATTGAGTACCTCAGCTCCATTAAAGAAAAACACATTGCGTATTTGAAACATAGATATGCATATTGAAGAATTCACCAGGCTCGTGAGTGATACATTATGTGCTGGGTCTGCTATTTCTTACAAACACTAAAATTAAAAGAAGATACCACAGTCAACTGAAATGTTAACAAATATTAATATTTGGTTTACTTAGGAAGACTTCTATGAGAAACCTAAACCCCTTTCTATAACCTCTGAGATAAATTACGATAGGTTGAGTGTCCATGAATGAAGGAAATAGCTGTATTCATGGGACAGATGGACTCAATGTATTTATATGTTCTTGAAGCTGGATCTGGATCTTGGTGTGACCCCTAGTAATTTTTAACTCACTTACATGCCTAACTATTCTGAGCATCCTTTTTCTGGCCCTTAATTTACACAGCTGGAACCAAGTGATCCACTGAACAAGATTAACACTATCAGGATTCTTGAGGAATATATATATCACAGATTGGAGGAAAAAGCTTTATCACTTGAGATCCTAAATTTAGTGCTTAGTACTGATCTTAAAAACAAGCTACTGAAGGCCACTTCATCTTAAAATGAGATGTAGTTCCTTGAAGGGGCCAACTTGCAGTGTGTTTATGACCATATAAGTTTCACTTTTCTAGAGAAAAGCTAAAGATGTTAAATATTTCTAACATAGTTTTCCCTCCAGCCCATCTCAGTCTCAAGTGGCATGGTCTCAATGACAAATTCTTCAGCTTCCTGCCTCTCTATACTGCTGCTCTAGAGAGAGAATGTGGAATTTAAGGGATCTTGAGTTCAAAGAGTTAGTCCATTCCCTGGTGAGTAGGTGGGCAGCTGGGCACAGAAGGAAATCTTGGGCAGACATCATGGGTTCTTTTTGATCACTGATCCTCAAAGGGTCAACTTTTTTGAAAGGCAATGGCTCAGGCTGTGCTGAATCCTTGTCACCCATTGGGTCAACCTACCATCATTTAGGACTATACAAAAGAAATGGTTTTGTGAATTGCATGAAGTGCTTTAGTATATCAAGTAACTTCTCTTCACTCAATTATGTTCTCCAGCTAAACATACCAGCTAGCAAAAGGTTAAGATGAGTAATACTTTAAATATAAAGGGGATTTATATAATAATTTAGTATATTTATGACTACCTTTTAATGGTTATCATCTTGCTATCTTTTACAGCTATGTAAGAGGCATGATTGTATAATCATCTTACTTCCAATTACAATTCTTTTCATAATACTATTACGTTCAGCTTACTTTTTAGATGTTGGTATTGTGGTCTCCTTGATCTATTTTTCCTTCCCCTTAGTGGATTATTTTAGTGCTTCATGGTATTTCAGTTTCTAGACCATTAAGTCACAAAACTGCAAAGTCTACTGTGGTCTGAAACCTGAGGGGTAGTTGACATAGAGTCCTCTGTGTTACTAGTTAAGTGTTACATAAACTGCAAGAAATCAGCAAAGATTGGATATATAAATGGTAGTCAGAAGGCAGAATTTCCTAGGAATGGTCCTACCAATGATGGTATTTGTATCATCATTCAAGAATAGTATGAATCCACGACCAAATAGGATGAGCAAATCAGCAATAAGATCAAGCTGTATGGGCTCAGAGAACATGTATCTAGGAGTGGCGTTCCAAAAATAATGACAGGAGTGCTAGAAGAACTGATTCCCTTAGCTTTTGGGGTGACACCGGAGGGTGATCCCAAGATCATGAGCCAGACAGCTTTCCCACTTACGTCAATAGGCTGGAGCCATGGTGTGTGTGTGTGTATGTGTGTGTGTGTCTGTGTGTGTGTCTGTGTAGGCCAGACTAGGACACTGGATCTCTTGGAGTTGGAGGTACAGGCAGTTGTGAGCTGATTGACGCGGGTGCTGACAGACAACCCTGGTTCTCATGATTTATCAGCAAGTTCCCTTAACCTATGAAAAATCTCTGCATCCCCATTCAATTGTACTTCATCGTATAAGGTCTACTAACTGCCTATGATGTTCTTCTAGTGAAGAAAGACACCTTCCTTCCCTAACAATATTTCCTTTTGTAGAAATTACTGAGTGACATGGTTTAAAATTGCATGGAGCCATTTGGAAAGGGTGAGTAAATTATATGGAAAATGATGGAAAAGTCTGAAGACGTGAGAGCTAAGGACAAAGTGACCAAGCAGGAAAACACACATGGTCACAGTGAAGTGAGAAAAATGCAAAGCAAATTAATTTATCATAGGATTTATGGTATCATTCCAGTGGTTCGGCATGTACCATGGTTAGAGACATGGGTTTGCCTGAGAGTCAATGAGGCCTAAATCACTCAACTAACAAAAGGTTCAGATAAGTAGTCTTTTTTATCCATTTGCCACAAACTGTTTGAGCTTCCCCACTGGGACTCATACTGGACTGAAAAACACATTTGACCTCATCAAGAATTGAGTCCTGGCCAGGTGTAAACAGCCAAATGACAGTAGGAGTACAAATCACTTTCCTCCTAGTTTTAAAGTCATTCAAGCTAAAATAGATCTGCTATAACAGATGTTTATAGACTGTGGTTCTGAAAGCCAGGAAGGAAAATAGCTTTTTATAAAGATAAGAAAGACAAAGGATTCTCTTCAATCCTCACCTACCACACAAGACATAAAATCAAAGCTATTCTCAAATGGGGACTTTGCAATACTCTTTCCCATTTTACAACAGGGAAACTTAGTGATTTTTATCTTTATTATTTTGTTTAAAAATATTTGTTAGTTAGAAATCATGCTTTTAGAATTAAAAAAAAATGTTCACTAGCTCCAAAATTTAAGCCAAGTTAAGTGCAACACATGAACATTAGACAAAGAGAAAAGGATCATCAGCCTACAATCCACACCTCCAGAGAAGCTAGGAAACAAGGAGGACCCTAAGAGAGACACACATGGGCCCCTGAGAAGGGAAAAAGGACAAGAGCCCCTGATTAAACTGGGAGATGGGGGCAGAGAGAGGTAGGAGAAAGAGGAGGAGAGAACCGGAGAGGGGAGGAGAACATGAGGGATCAGGAAGGTTGAGTTGGGGGAAGAACAGAGAAGGAGAGTAAGGAAAGAGACACTGATCGAGGGAGCTGTTATGGACTTAATGAGAAACCGGGCACTAGGGAAATATCCAGGAATCCACAAGGATGACCCCAACTAAGACTCTAAGCAATAGTGGAGAGGCTACCTTAAATGCCCTTCCCCTATAATGAGATTGATGACTACCTTACATGTCATCCTAGAGCCTTCACCCAGAAGTTGACTGAAGCAGAAGCAGACACCCACAGCTAAGCACTGAGCTGAATTCCTGGAATCCAGTGGTAGAGAGGGAGAAGTGAAGAGCAAAGGGGTCAAGACCAAGCTGGGGAAACCCACAGAAACAGCTGACCTGAGCCAGTGGAGCTCACGGACTTCAGACTGACAGCTGGGGAACATGCATAAGACTGAATCAGGCCCCATGAACGTGGGCAGTCTATGGAGTCACTAGCTGGCAGTGGAACCAGTATTTATCACTAGTGCATGGACTTTGGGAGCCCATTCCCCATGGAGGGATGATACGCTCTTAGCCTAGATACACAGGGGACAGCATAGGTCCTGCCCCAAATAATTTGACAGACTTTGATGATTCCCCACAGGAGGCCTCACCCTCTCTGAGGAGTGGATAGGAGGTGGAATGGGAGGACTAGAGGGAGAGAGAACTGGGATTGGTACGTAAAACGAGATTGTTTTAAATTAAATAAAAATTAATTAAAAAAAGAAATACAACTCCCAAAGTCACAAATTCAGAGAAGTATCCTTTAATATTTGATATGACATCAAATAAACATTGGCTCAGGGGTAAGAGAAGTCATGGCTTGAATGTTGGTTGAGACATTTTGTATCTCTACAAGTAATATTCCTTGAACCATGGTTTCCTTGGTTATGCTTTCCATGACACAGTGCTGTGCCTTTTTAAGGAGGCTCTGAGTATTAAGCAAGGCAATATACATGAAGTTATTGTGACAGTCATAAAAAATTGGAACCCCTGGAACTGGAGTTACAGACAGTTGTGAGCTATCATGTGGTTGGTTACTGGGAATTGAACCCAGGTACTCTGGAAGAGCAGACAGTGCTGTTAACCCCTGATTCATCTCTCCAGCTACTTGATACTTATATAAAAAGAGTTCATGCTTAAGAGAGGATTTGGGAGATAAATATTCTTCACATATATTCCTGCACATTAATTGTTAGACAATAATTATTAAAATACAATAGAAAAATACTGATTCACTCCATCTAGCTCCATTCTATTTCCTATTGTTTTATTTTATTATCATTTTTTATAATTTGTAAATCTGTTGTGAACAGAAATGAAATTTATTTAAAGAAGATCTTCACATTTATAATGCCTCTACAAATGGAAGGAGAGGTTGGGGATAAGAAAAAAGAATTCTATACAATATTGTAGTAGGTAAAAATAAAAAATGAAGATGTATGATTTTATACATACAAATTATTAGTCATATCTCAATCACTATAGGTAGTTCATTTAATAGAACAAAGAGACCAAAAAAAATGATACCATGTTAGCATGATTCGATCTAGAGCTGTTTTTGTCACCCACATCAATGTGAGGTGACTCTTTTGAGGTTAACATACTTTTATGTCACTTACTCTTTGTCCTTTAGGACCCAGGCTTCCAGGTGCGCCTCTTGCCCCAGAAAGACCCTACATGTTGGAAATTAAAAAACTTAGACATCAAATTCATAACATTGTTACCAAAATAGTAGTTATTTCCTTCTTACGTGATGCATTTTTAATGATGGATTTTTAAATGATAGTCATTAGTTTCCATACAAATAAATTTTAACTAGCCAATACCACATGTCCCTCCCTAATGTTCTACTTTAAATTATTTCACTTTTTGGAACAATGTCACGTCTGTCTGAAATGGATTGTGAAAGGCTTTAAGACTCATTGGACAAATAGTGCTTAGAAAGACTGCACATGAGCCATGGAGGAAGGAGAGGTCCACTTCGTCAGTCAAACCAGTCTATTATTCCCAGTCCATCAAAGAACCAATGGCTATTACTGTTAAAATTCTTTGTTGTTATTAAAGATATCTATTATGACCCCATGTATAGAACTTGTATATTTTCTGAGCCTATGAAAAATGTCACAAATATTTAAAATTAATATACCAAAAGCAGCTTATAATGGAAGTTAAGTTGCCATTTTAAAGTCAAGTTTAATGATATATTAAGTCTCCTATAAAGACATTAGAAAATAGGACAAAGTCATGGCTATAAACATAAGCAAGTAGAAAGCAATTCTTGACAATATGATCATTTAGTCAAATGACAATAGTAGGTTTCTCATGTGATCTTCACAGGTTTACCATACGAGACATGATGTCCCCCCTGTGCAGCAGGCCTCACTGGCCATTATAAAACAGTTGGTTCCTCCAAAACCACCATACCACTATTACAGCAGTGGATACAGATTGCCTAGAGTTGGTTAAGACCTTCAATGCTTTTCTCCACTGGCAATCCCATAACATCTGCTATCACTGCAAAAGCTAGCCACCAGGGATTTTTCTGATCAATGTGAAATTGATTGTTCTATGTCCTGCAGTCCAAGTGCATGTTTTTTTTTTTTTTCAGCTATCAGGTCTTTCCTCTTCATTATGGTGAGTAACAAGAGCAATGGCAATACCATGGGTTGTTTTGGGTACCTTTGGTGCCCCGGTGACCAAACACTCACAGAGAGTCATCCTGCTATTGGCACTGAGATTTCCACTGAATAGTTATGAACTTGAGGTAGATGAAAGTGGACCCAAATTTAGGTTTTGAAGTTCACTCATTCTTCTACACGAGTGAAGAGATTGACAACCATGCTCTAGTCTTTCTTCTTTTGAAGTCTATGAGTCTATGGCTGTACTGGAAAACTAGCTCAGATTTTAGAATTGGAGCACCATAAAGCATAGAAAGGTGATTATAAAGAGAGCTTCTGCCCTGACACCGCTAAGGCTGAACTTGTACAGACTCATGCTAACCATAACTGTCAAACCGTGACAAGCAAATGTTCTCTCTTTAGGGGCAAGATTTAATTATCTTTCTGAAAACAACAGATGGAATATATTTAAAGCTCAAGTTTTACTTACCAAAGGAACATTTTCTACAAATTTTAACTGTTTGTTTGAGAATATTTGCAAATTTTAAGAAAAAATATGCTAAAACATCTGCTTGTGTTTTGTTACTTTCTCTGATCTCAGCTGTATTTTGGTGACTGATTCTACTTTCTTAAAAAAGGAAGACACACACACACACACACACACACACAATCACGTAAGTTTAGGCTAGAGAACTGAAATTGGTTGCTATATGTAATAGGGGGAAGGAAATTCAAGATAGCAAGAAACATGTCAGAACACTCATACATTGTGGAGATAAGCAGTCTCCATAACCAAACACACGACTGATTTTACATGCGATCCCCAAAGATGGCACAGCAAAGGTAATGGATTTAAATTAAAGTGGACATTTAAGAATCATGGAGTTTGTTCTAAACTTACAGGTAATCCCAGGGGGCCCATGGGTCCTGGAGCTCCAGGAGGACCTTCGTAGCCCTATGATTTAAGGAAATATGAAGGAAATAAAATCAGTTATTTGCACAAAACATGCAGAATTTTAATTGAATTTTTTAATCCAGTATGACTAATTTATAGTTTAACTATTCTCCCATAACTGTATAAAAATTTTTACTAAGGCAGTTTATTTTTATGCTTTTTTTGTGTGTGGATTTGGTACCATTTTTCTAGGATACAAAACAGCTAAAAAGGGAATTTATTACAAAAGAACGTTTTCACTTAAATTCCAGTCAAGGTGGGTCTACCCCCTGGAGGCCTTAATTAAATGAAGAAGAAACCGAGTTTTTAGATCATTCAACTCTTACCATGACACCCTTCTCTCCCTGGGAACCAAGTGGGCCTGGACTTCCACGCTCCCCCTTTTAAAACAAGAAAAAAAAAAAAAAAGCAACATTGTGTTATGCTAATGATAATTGATTTGAAGCTATTAAAAGAAACCACCAGAACCATAACTTATATGCATAGCTCATCTTTATTTTCAGTACCTTTCAAAGTTACAAAGTTTGCCATTTTAAACTTATAGGTTCCAATCTTCTAATATAATAGTTCCCTTGTTTGCAATCTTATTAAAATGAAGATAGAAACTACAGATAAACAAGATCTTTGTTTTAAAGCATGTAGCTTGCTAAAGTTTTATAAATGAGAAATCTTAGGATTTTTATAGGAAACTACAGACATGAAATTCCCAAAAACATAAAGTATATTGAAAAACAAGCTCTTTTCTAGAACAATTGACAAAATTATTTTCCTTGTTTGTGGGTCTCAGTGAAGAGCTGCAGATCTCATTCTGGAGGGTCATGGGAACCAAGTCTTCACAGAAAGTTAACACTAAATTCCTTGCATTGTCAGAATCTTCACTCATTAAATAATAACCATATCGGAATGAAAACTGACAGTTAAAATTGAATTACTCTTGTATTTTGTTATATTACTAGCAAAATCATTGAGCATATATTAAGAACTTGTATTACTTGACAGGAGATATATTTACAAAGTTAAACTTGTATTTTACTTTCAAAAAACTATAGATTTGTTGTGAGAAGAGATGAAATAATTAGAGTTTGAATTGTGTACTGTTTAGAATTTATTCTCATTCCAGGAAGGGAGGAAATCAGGAAGGATTAGAGAGGTATAGAGGGGTTTCCTGAGAGGAGAGGAAATTAATAGAGTCCAGCAGTTTGTATATCAATAAGATTCTGGGATGGAAGAGAATATAATTGGTGAAGTGATCAGGGAGACTGAACATAGGAACAGGTGTTTAATAGAGTAGGAGGAAAGAGGATGGTTATCTGGAAGCTTAGTTTTCTGATTCAGAACTGCTCCCCATCACTGGAGTTATGGATTATTTTTCTGGTCATGCTTCTACAATGTCCACTTCATATTTGCTTTTCAGATTTCATCTGTACAACCAGCAGGGTATCCTACCCTTTGCAAATTAGAAACAAGCACGTAATTAGTCATATTTCAACATGTTTCAGAGATTAAGTAGAAACAATATGTTATATTTTCAAATACATTTCCCTTTTATCAGCATATATTAATTGTACAAAGTGATAATTTTTATAATCACATTTCTAAAATGCACACCTTGGCCATTTGCTGGCACTCTCTTACTGTTTATTGCATTTCCTTCCCTCTTCCTTCCACATCTCTCATGGTCTCCCTTCTACTCTTACTAAATTCCACATATGAGAGAAACCAGGTAATGGTTATCCCTTTAAGCCTGGCTTTCCCCCCTTTAGTATGATGATCTCCACTTTCAACACTACTTGAAATAATATAATTTCATTCTTTTTTAAATGTCTAATTGTGGTTCCAAATGCTCTTGGATACAGATATCTTTCCCTACATTTGAAATATTTTTTTTTTCTACACAGCTTCAGCAATTAAATTTCTTGTGCCTGTTCAACTCTTTATCTACATTGAGAATTTTGGATTTCATCCCATGGCCATGTCCCAAAGTTTTCAAAAGTGCTGGTCATGACTGCTTTTCTTTCCTTCTCTGTCGGAACAGAACAATTCCCTAATCACATCTTCAATCTGTGGAACCTCTTTTCTGCTTAATTTAACTTAGTGGTGATGTTTTCCAGAGTTGAAATTTTTTGATTTATGATGCTTTTCATTTCCAAAATTCCTGTCCCCCCAGAATCTATTTATTTACTAAATTTCTCGTCCTTATTACTAAATTTCTACTCTAAATCTTGAATTGCCCTCCTCACCCCATTTGTCTTTTTGTTTGACTCCTCTTTGAGGTCACTGGTCATTTTAAAAAGTAAACTCTTGAATGTTTTGCGTAACATTTCAACCACTTCATTATTTCTGGATTCAGTTATTGAGGGGTTGCTAACTTTTATGGGAGTCATATTGCCTTGTCTTTCCATTTTCCTTGTGTTTCTGTGTAAATATTTTTGCCATTGTTGGGATATCCCTCTGGTTTTATGTTAAAGTCTTCCTCGTGGGTAATTTTATCCCTAGCCCACAATCTCCACAACTACTCAGAGGAGAGGAAGCAGATCACAACAGAACAATTAAAAAATAAATCATACATTTAAATGAAGCAAATACCAACTAAAACTATCAACTATATTCCCTTAAGGAGAGAAAAGAAAGAAGCTAAGATACTTACAGAATAAGGTGAGAACTGAAAAGCTATTCAAGCTAAAATTATTAATGATTAAGTAATAAAATGAAGGTGGGCAGAGAGTGAAAAATAGAATAAGCAACAATGGAAAGAGGAAAATGTATGTGTTGACAGCAGAAGAAAAACGTCTTAAGGGTAAACACAAGAGAAATACAGGTAAAACCAAATGCTCAGAGAGCAAACAAAACCAGTCAGTATCTCCTCCTTGCTGAGAAGGCAGGTGGTGGAGATTCTCTGGTCTTCCCGGACTTGTCGGCTTCTTCTTCTTCTCCTCCTCCTCCTCCTCCTCTTCTTCTTCCTCTTCCTCCTCTTCCTCTTCCTCCTCTTCCTCTTCTTCTTCTGCTCCCCCTCCTCCCCCTCCTCCTTTTCCTTCTTATTATTTTATTTATTTATTTTTCTTATTTTACATATCAGTCTCAGTTCCCTCTCCTTCCCTCCCTCCCTCCCACCCTCCCATGCCCCCCCCCCGACCACCCTCCCATCCCACCCCCTCCACTCCACAGGGAGGATGATGCCTTCCAGAAGGGGTCAACAAAATCTGTCAAGTCATTTGGAGTAGGCATTAGGCCCTCCCTCCTTCCTCTAGGTTAAGGGAGTATCCCTCCATGGGAAATGTGCTCCCAAAGTCCTTTTGTGCACCAGGGATACATCCTGGCTCCACTGTCTGAGGTCCCTTAGACTGCTCAGTCCTTCTGGCTGAGACCCATGTTCAGGGGGGTCTGAGTCATCCCATGCTGGCTTCCCAGCTGTCAGTCTGGGGGCCCGTTAGCTCCTCCTTGTTCAGGTCAGGTCAGCTGTCTCTGGTTTCTGCAGCCTAGTCTTGTCCTCCCCCTGTGGTGGTGATGCCAGTAGCATTTGCTGAAGGAGTAGTGCTCTTTCTATAGCTCAAACAGATGACCTATATATAGCAGCTCAAACAAGGCTATTTGCAGGATGAGCCCCATCAGACTTTTTCACTGGGTTTGATGGCTACTGTGAATTACTAGGTTGGATTACTGCCCGGGTACGGGTCAGCAACACAGGAAAGTGGGGCCCTCTGTCAAGTGGCTGCTGCCATTTGAGCCTGTGGACCACCTGGTTGGGTGGTCCCTTGTGCCAGAGACCCTCTATTAGTTCAGTCACAAGTATGGGAATTGCCCAAGCAGCTTTCGTATTTTAACCAAGTATTTCTCGGACTCTGATGTTTTGTTGGAGGTGTGTGGACACACAGAAAAGTGGGCACTGAGTGCTGAAGCCTCCATCCTCCAGTCCACTGCCAGGATGGTGAGTGCCTTCTAATCAATGAATGTCAAATGCCACATGGAAGAATGAAATTAGCCAGGAGTTCTTAATATAAAACAAAACAGCAAAAGCACTTACCTTTTCACCAATGCTTCCAGGCATCCCTCCTTCTCCAGGCAAACCAACAGGTCCCTTGTAAAAACAAAGAATAACAGGAAGTATGTATGCATTACATCGATCGTGTAGCATCCTGCTTTTAAGTCGCCTACAATTACTGTTTCTATCTACTTCATCCTATTTCTATTGGGGGAGGGGCACTTTGTAGAATTAGTACATAGCCTATGATTGATTTCACATTAGAATTATTTGATTCAGTCAGTCAAAAATACCTCAGTGAAAACTCAGTGCCTAATAGACACTTTGGTGGGAGAAATGCAGTCTCTGTGAATGTGAACTAATAATCAACAAGGTGTTATAAATACGTCTGTAATGAATGAACTAATAATCAATAGGATATTATAAATATACCTGCAGTTTTCATTGGTGTGGATATGCTAGCAAAAAAACATTTTTGTGACTACCTTCTTTTAAAGTATTTTAATACCCATTCATGTTCATTTATTTGTCCAATTATACAAGGATTTGATGTCTGTTCTGAGTGGTACTGGTTGCTGAGGTCCTGTCTTGATGTCATAGTTAGCTTCAGCTTTCAGTTTGACACAATTCACAGTCACTTGGGTAGAGGGAACTTCAATAGAGAAATTACCTTCATCAGCTTGGCCTCTGGGCAGGTTTGTGGTGGCATTTTCTTAATTGTTAATTGATGTGGTAGGAGAGGAGGGCCTGAGTTATTTAAGAAAGTGAGCTGAGCAAGCCTGACAATCCAAGAAAGCCAGCTAGCAGCGTTCCTCCATGGTTATTGCTTCAAGCTCCTGCCTTGGTATCAAATGATGATGAAACTAGAAACCTGTATGTTAAATAAGCTCTATCCTTCCAAGTTGTTTTTGGCCATGGTACTTAATACAGTAACAGAAATCAAACTAGGGAATCGAAATATCTTGTAACACAGAAGGAGAACATTAACAGCTATCTTAAGTGCATAAAGGCAATAACTATGATGCTGGAGTATTTTAGCAAGGAAAGTCTGGGAAGGGATGAAGCCAGACACTTAATCTGTAGATTGTGTAGGAAGAGGTCAGCCAGCCCAATGAAGAAAGAAGGCAGGGATCCCATGCTAGTGTACATCCTGAGTGAGTGATTCAATTGTGAGTATAAATGAAAGAAGGCCACCGGCAATATTGCTTTGAGGGAACATGACCTGGGTTCTCTCTGTGTCTGTATTTGTGAATATTTATTATTCCTTCTTTAATCGATACAGAGACTCACGAAGATAGGATAAATGATGAAATATGTCTTTAAATCTTACTAAATGTTAATGTTCTAAATATTGTTAATTGTGATTCTTACTTGATAACTGTTGTGTGATATATTTTGCGAAGAAGGTTAAAACCCTTCTTTTTATTTAGACAGAAAAGAGGAGATGATGGGAGATGTCATTCTGTAAATATGTTTCTCATAGTGGTTAATGAATAAAGCACTGTTGGCCAATAGGAAAGCAAGATAGGCAGGACTAGGAGACAAGGAGGATTTGAGGAAGTAGTAGGGAGGAGTCAGCATGTAAAGATGGTGAGAACAGAGGTCCAGGCTCACTCTCCGGTAAGATGGGACCACATGGAAATACTTAGATTAATAGAAATGGGTTAATACTTAAGACAGAGCTAGCCGATAAGAAACAAGTACCTGGCCAACAGCATTATATCTAATACAGAGTCTCTGTGTGTTAATTGGGGCTGCTGCCATGGTGGGTCCAGGCTGGCAGGGGAAAACCTTACTTGTAACACAGTATGATTTTATCCATGTATGCCCATAGTCATATTTGTTTATATCTGTTTTCCAATCTAATTTACTGGCTGTCACATGATACTGGATGCAGTAACATGCATTAGACAATGTGTGTGTGTGTGTGTGTGTGTGTGTGTGTGTGTGTGTAATTTCATCATCACAACCACTGACTTTGGTCATATTAACTGGATTCTCCTTTTACAGATGCAGTAGATAAGTCAAGCAGAGGAGTTTAACGGTACAGCTGAGTTTAGGTGAACACCGAGTACTTAAAATGTTACTACTCCAATAGACATGTGTTGTGTTTTATTTTGAAAACTATTTTTATGTTCTTCAACAATGAACATTTATTTCTTTTCTTTTGGATCTTTTTTTTTAAAGACTTATTTATTCAGTATGTATAACGTGTTCTGCCTGCATGTCCACCTGCATGCCAGAAGAAGGCATCAGATCTCATCATAAGATGGTTGTGAGCCAATATGTGGTTGCTGGAAATTGAACTCAGGACCTCTGGAAGAGCAACCAGTGGTCTTATCCTGTGGCAGGTTCTTCTGTCCATGTGTGACTCAGTCCTCACACAACACACACACACACACACACACACACACACACACACACACACACCATATACACATATATAAATATATATAATGCTGCTGTTCTCTATTGATTTGTTGTGTAATGCTTAGGCATAGCTTATTTCTCATGTTTCTATTCTATGCCATTACTAAGTTTCCTGTTTTTCCCCCTTTATAAACTTCTCTCACTTAAATGCTCCTATACCTGTGTTTGACTGTCCTTATTAAAACAAGTAAGCTAATAAGCTGAGAGAGTCAGTCCTAAGGTCTGAAACACACAGGCTTTAATATCTTTGCTTCTTAAGTGTGCATTACTATTTAATATGAAAATATCCACATATTTGGCAATACTAGGCGAATCCATTTTGATTTGAAACCTATCAAGTTTTATTAAACTTAACAGGCCATTGATGCAATTTTATTTTTATATTTCTAACGTAAAAATAATTCAATAAGCAAATGCATTTGTCAGTGAATTTAAGAAATATCTAATTTTCAAATTTAATATGCAAAAAAGGCCATGCTAGGTTGTGTTATTTAAAATGTTCACTGCTTATTTCTGTAGAACAATTACACATCCCTGGACCACTCTGTTAGGCTTGATACTCAGCATGGGAAGAAAATTATCGTCCATCCTACTCATACCAGGCTTCTCCATGTAGCTTATTTAGAACACAGAGAAGATGTGAGGACATGACATTTGTCAAACTGCTTTTTAGAGTCCATAAACCAACCATGTCTCAAAGAGGCTCTTTGTGAGCCTGCACCTAGAGTCCAGATGGCTGGAACAGATACAGGCAGCTCCCAGTGGTTAGGGAGCAAGTCAGAAAGAAACCTTTGCAATTCTAGGCACTGATGTCTTGAAGCTGTATTTCACTGTAGCATAATTTAGCTACTCTGACAAAGTTGGTAATATATGGTACTCATTTACACAAGAAACAACTAGATTTCTTCACTCTTTTCTGTCTCTTGTGATGACAGTTCCAAGGGAATGAGGAACTACTTCAATTAAAAGGCCTGACTTTCTTAATTACCTTAGAAACACAAGCAACGAAAACTGCATCATCTTACAACACTCAGTTTTGTGCTAATTTGATCCAGTGGCTAATATTTTACTAATGATACAACGAGTTAAAATATGCATTTACATAAAACTGGAAAACTTGAATCTAGTTCAGATTGCTTATACAAAAAATTATATTGCAGAAGTGGTTGTAATTACCAGAACAATGCAGCATTACACTACTAAGAACAAGATAATTATCATCCACAGTAATAATAAAATGAACAAGAAGAGAATCTTAATGAAGAGTATTTGGAGGTAAGGAGACAAATCAGAATAGTTATGTTGGAGGAGAGCTGGGAATGAACAAAGAAATCCAAAGGAAGAAAAAGCATCCCTGTTAAGGAAGGTCTGGAGAGTGATGAGATTTAGCATTGTAGGTTCAATGGTGAACTCCAAGGACAACTTCAGTAGTTCCTGCATGTTTGGACATGGCTGCTGAAGGGTTAACAGTGTCCATGTAAAGGAAGCATGGTGAACAACTCGTGTAGCTGACTCTCTTAAGAAATTTGGCAGCGGAAAGGAGACAGAATACCATTGGAGACCATGGTTTGCCAAATTATTCTATTGAGAACAGTATTCCTGCTCTGGCAGCCAAGTAAAAGAAAGTTCATCTATGAGAGAAATATTCTTCTGAACAGAAAACAATCTTATTTAAGATACATTTTCTCTCTGTTTCACAGAATGATTTAAAAAACAAAAACAGCCTGATATGAGCACCTAATCCGTCATAAGTGGTTGAGACCAATACATTTCTAATTGTAAGGCAACGCTGGTGGGCGTTCTCCCATGGGCCGTCTCATAGCCAGCTCCCTATCACTAGACAGCCTTCCTGTACTAGTAGTTATTGCTGGGAGATGTGCACTAGTCAACGACCCCTATATGTTTCTCTCCATCTTTTTATATGGTTGTTATTATTATTACAAACACTTTTCAAAAGGAAAGATCATAGTGCCCTGACTTGTTTTCCTATTCATCCATGAAACAAACACCCCTATACAAGTGAGATCTTGAACAAGATGCAACTCAGAATCAGGAACAAGTAGATTTCAGTTATCAAGTGCTCACAGGCTAATTGGGTATATGTGGGCATAGTAGCAATTCATTTAAATGGATTACCGATGGATGCTAGAACAGACAATGGAAGATTCCTGGTTTTATTCTTTTCTACTTATTCTTTTTCATCAGGAAAGGTGTGGGGAAAACTGGATGTCCACAAGTAGAATAATGAAACTGGATCCCTGTCTCACATCCTGTATAAAGTTTATCTCCAAACGCATTAACAGAAAAGGCCTCCATGTGAGACCTGACACTTGGAAACTGTTAGAGGAAAAAAGCAAGGGAAGTACTTCAGTGAACAGTCACGGATAAAGACCTTCTGAACAGGACCTAGCTGCTCATGGATGATGTCAGCCACCAGCAAATGGGAGCTCATGAAACTAAATGTCTCTGCACAGCAAAGGAGATGGCTAACCAAGTGAAGATTTGGCTTACAGAAAGTGAGAAAATAGTTATGATTGATGCTTCCCATCTATACAGCTTTCATATCATTGACTTAGTTCTCACATCACATAACCTCCCTAATGTAATGGCTTAAAATGAGAAACCCTTACTTCCCCACTATTTCTGTAGGTCAGAAAGTATGGGAT